GTTCGGTTCCTGAGCAGTGCATTCTCAGAGTTATTTTTTTATTTACGGTGTTGAAAAGTAGTTGAGCAGCTGGAATGAAATTCTGAACAGATTCGTATCAAGTACTCACAGTGAATTCCGCCAATCTTCAAAATCAAAATCGCCATCACTTCAGCTACCCACTCAAATTCGCCTTCTTGATTTTCTGCTTCAACTCCACGTTCAAAGCAGCTTTAAATATGAGTAGTTAAAGTTCACGTTTCAATCAGGAATTATTCGAACTATTTTCCCCACAGAGAGAAACACAGAAATGAAGTTGCTTCTTTTCTGTCTTTTTACGTGTCTTTTCTTTTTACACAGAAAAGAATTTGCTTCGTTTCTGTGTTTTTTAAATATCTTCTTTTTTTATATTTGATGATCTAAATAAATATTTTTCACGTGAACATGAATAATAAATTACTAATGTAACCATTGAAAAAGAATCGATTGTAATAGAACACAGGAAATAGTTTCCTACTGTACACTACTCTATTTTTATGTAAATTTGCACCGAAACATCAGATCAGATTACTTTTATTGACTCTAATATATTCTACACATAAAAGTATATTTTTTATTAAAAAATTGACAATTTGAAAAAATTTGAAATATTTCTCTTCTTATAAGAACAACGCAATATGTGAATTTTTATAATTCCACATCGTCACGTCAAAATGAACACTATAGATCCAAAAGAAATTCCGAAAAATCTCCTGTATCCCTAATGTCAAAATTATTTGGTCTTTTTGTCATGCAAAACAATCCATACTAAACTTCGTAAAACCTGCATTAGTAGGGCCAACTTTTCTACTGTTCAGGTATCTTTGGAGGACCCTTCTATTATTCGGGGTTCTTCAATTAGAAGAAGCCTTTCTGTTTTTCCGCTTATCCAATTATCTTACTAACATTTTTTTTTAAATTTCGGCGAATTTTTTAAAAAGTTCATGAAAATCTATAGATTACACCAAAATTGAGCTTGTTTTTAGCAAAAAGAGTATTTTGACGAAATTCTATGAAATTGTGTTTCCGGAATATTTCTGATCGAAAACCTACGGAATTTTTCTAATTTCAAAACACAAATGACCTTTCTAACACAGATTTCCCGGTATTATGGAGTTTGTCTTGAGTTCTGCGCTTAAATTTCAGGTCGGTGAATTTTAAAGGTATTCTGCAGTGCTGGCTCAACTCGCCTTGGCCTGGCTCACGAGCAAAACTTTGAAAATTTTAGGAGTACCCTATAAAGATCTTTATTTTCAGCGAATACTCACCAATTGATGCTCGACCAACTCCTCGATTCTCTCTCTGGCCTCCTTGATAATCTCTGGTACTTCGGAACTCTCAGCGACGCGTGTCTTCGATGTCTCCACTTGTGTCTTCTCGTCTCCAGAAGCATCTATCGTTGTCTGTAATGTCATCAAATGAGGTTTTAAGTAGCTTGAATGAAAACTCACAGTCTCCTTTCTCTCGCTCTTGATTCCATCATCGTCGACAGTGCTTTCGAGAACAGTTCGAACGACTTCTCCCTCGGTCTCCACGACAGTCTCTTCCATGGTTTTTGACTCATGTCCGTCGGAGTGAGTGACAATGGTACGAGTTGTCGTGACGATAGTCTTCTGAAAATTGAAGGAAGGTATATTTTTTCATTAATGGAAGATGAGGGTAGTCACACGATGTCTACATTTTTGGTATTGGAAATCTGACAACTTTCTCATCTACAACATTTCTTATAAAATGTTCAATAATCTCACCTCTGGATCCTGATGACTGTGCTGGATGCTTGGTTCGGTGCTAATAACTGTCACACCGGCTGCCTTTCCATTAGTTCCAGCATTCTGTGGATATGGGTAGACTGGCGTGTAGACGAATGGTCCGTTGACAGCAATTTTTCCCTTCTCATCAGCCTCCTCAACTGGTTGTGGTCCAGTAACAAACGATTCCAGGGTGTTGTTCTTGTCTCTAGTCGACAGTTCTCCAATCTCAATTGGAATCTCCAGAAGAATATCAGTTCCAAGCGTGACCTGAATTCCGTACTCAATCTTCACAAATGGAATTTTGCGGAAGCGAAGTGTAGCTGTTGAGGGGCTCTCCAAGAGCTTTCCATATGGGCTCAAGATATGCTCAATCTTTGATGGATCCTCGTAATCTCCTTTTGTGCTTGGACACACTGGTGGAACTGTGAGCAGGAAGATGCCATTCTGCTCAAAAGCTCCTTTAGCTTTGTTTGGTGATTCATGATTAGATTCGAGCTTTCTGACGTAAAGCGTTCTCCATGGAGATGCAGCTGAGATTTCTGGAGCTCCGATACGACGGACACGGTCGACAAGTCTGGCTTCCATCTGAAAAAAAATCTTTTTCTATGATTTCATAGGTGACAGGGATACTTACGTGGTTGAGAATGTCCTTTGGGTGCTTGCTTCCAATCTTCAAGTTTCCATAAATTGACTCTCCCGGGAGATATCCAGTTTTTGGAAGTGCAAGCTCGGCAGACAATTTTGACTTGCAGCAGCACTTTCCGAGAATCGCCGAGTCTTCAGTCTGTGCAGACTCTCCGGTGATGATGTGTCCCTCTGATGGTGAAACCAAGGTGAACGCCTTCTTCACATAGTACTCATGCTGGAATATCGTTCAGTTTTTCAACGAAATTTTCATTAAACTCACAATCTTTTCGAATTCATCCTCCTGTACCAAACTGGCACGGATGAAGTATCTGATGAAAGCGTGTGGCCCCTCGTAGGTGCTTGGACATCCTTTTGGCAGTGGGCACTCGAATGGAAGACTGTATGTGAAGTCACCGATCCATTTGAAGTGTCCTGGTTCTGGTTTTCCTGGGGGACGTTCAAGCAGAGTGAAGTCTTGGTCAAAGTAAACCTGAAAAGATAGGAAATTTGTTGATTTGAGGTGTGAAATAGCTTTGGATTTCTCTTTTTTAGTGGGAAAATTATTTTTATTGAAAGTTTGCTGTTCATTTTTGGAAAGGGAATCTAAGAGGTCAAGTGCAAGAGCGCTCTACGGAAATTCAACAGCGCGTATTCAAATTTGAATTTCTCTGTTCTCCTAATAATTGATTTCATAACGAAAATGTGCTAGGTTTGCATTTTTTGAATATTGTCTATGTTTGAAGTTAGAGCTCAGTTTGTCCAAATATTTCGAAATCAAATTTTGGAATTTGGAATTCCGAATTGAATTTTTTTCTGAATTTTCAAAATTAGCGATTTCGGTTTTTTGGAATTTCGAAAATTCAGAAATTCCATGTTTGTAAAATTCCGGGCCGGCCCGGTCCGTTACAAGTATGGAAAGTTCTAAATATTCCAAGTTTTTAAAGACCGACATTTTGTAATTTTCTGAATTGTATAATATCGAAATTTGCAAAATTCTGAGTCATTAGGATTATCGCTATTTAAGACTGTTTTAACCATGTTGAAATTTAATAGACACGCAACAACAAAAATTACTTTTGAAATTCGAAAGTTTCAAGTTTTACGGTCAGACTTTTAGTCAGAAAATTTTGGTTCGGAATATTTTACTCACTTTCTCAATATCATCCTTTTTCAATGGATCGTTTAACCATGCGGCTCTTCCCTTCATCTGCAGCTTTACAGCATTAATGATGATTGGCTTGCGCAACTCGATGAGCAACTTTCCAGTGATAAGCTCTCCTCCCTTGAAGACTGGCTCTTCTCCGGCATCCAGATGGATGTCGAATCTGGCGACGATGTCAGTTTCAGTGCCCATGATGTGTTGAGTTTCTGGAATTTCGAAGAATTGAATACTGAAAATTCAGAGAAAAAAGCATGTGACGACAGTTATAGGGAACGGTGGTGATAAGAAATGCGGGTAATCCTTTGGGTTTAAAAACGTTTCTCAACTGTCAATCGAAAAGTCAATTTGAATCGAAAAACGGAAACGGTTACTCATTCGAAACTAGAATACGTGTCCATTATTTGGTACATATATATTTGTCTGCTATGAAAATGTATGTCAATTTGTGTGCACAGTTGTGTATGTTCTGTGTGAAGATGAAAAGAAATCGAATGAAAGAGTGGAGGGAGGGATGTTAATAAATACAGGAACGGTGGCATGGAAAAAAGAAGAAGAGTAATCGAAGTGGGTGGGGCGACTGGTAGTTAATTGAGGAGAAAAGGAGAAAGTATTGAGGTAGAGAGGGGTGATTCATCATAAGATCTGGCCTTATTTAGACAGATTTCTACTGTGATGAAATTTTTAAAGTATCAGAATATTTCGAAAGAGGGTTAAGAAATTCAAAGTTCTGGAAACACTACACTAAAAGTCATTCATACTTTACAATGTACGCATTTTCGAATTGTACAAATTTTGTGGTTAAAAGACAATATGCCAGCGGTTATACTGTATTTCCTCTAATAAAAGCCTACTCAAACCAAAATCTTTGACATCAATTATCTCGATTTCTGTGGAAGATATCAAAAAATTGTCAACTAATGAATTATTCATCATATCATCTCAAACATTTTATCAGTGGACACATTGTTTATATCTTTCACAGAAATCGAGATAATTGAGCTCGAATTAAGCGGTTTGGGCGGGCTTCAATTAGAGAAAAGACGGTATATCAATTACGTAACTCCGTTTTGAAAGTTTCAACATAACTAATTGCTCAGCACCATCTCCACCCAACAAAATTTGTAGAAGTCAGTGAACTGCACTAAACCAAACCGTCAATATTTGAACAATGACAAGTGATCCTATTTTTTCAATAGGTTAGGCGGACAAAAGAGAAACTGAAACCGAACTTAGTGCGAACTTTTACTTGCAGTTTTTTTTCTAGGAAACTTTGTCCTATTTTGTTATGTAGTTTGGAAATATACATGTTTTTGCCTTCCTGTCAAGACAGGTTTTCATCATATTTCAACTTTCATTATACTTGAGTTAGAGAAAAAAACAGGGGCACTGTAGTCATTTCAAAAGTTAAAAGATACATAACTTTTCAGCCGTTTGAAAGCCGTTAGAAAAAAGTCAATCTCTAGCAATCTACCGTTTTTCCTCTAATAGAAGCTCACACAAACCGTCATCTTTGAGCTCGATTATCTCGGTTTCTTGCAAACTAATTTATCAGTTGGAAGGCTTTTGATATCTCTCAGAGGAATTGAGATAATTAAGCTCAAAGTGCACCTATAGGGTGAGATCTACTGAAGTAAGTATAGCTCTGATTCTGAAAAAGTCTGAGAAGGATTTTTTGAGATTAAAAAAATGGGGCCGCATAAACTTCCAAACTAAAAAAAATTGTCCCAAACACAATTTATCTATCTTTTCTAGGCCTCAAAACCGAAACGCATAGCAACAACAAAGTATGACCGGAAGATAGAAGGAAAAGAGAAAAGCGATGATCCATGGATCATAGTTCACGATGATGGATTGTGATGGGGCTGGAGAAGAAGAGGAATAGTGGATTCGAGTATTAAGAGTTGGGGGATTTATAAATTATGACTCGAGATGAAAGAGAAAAAGAGAAAGCGGATAAAGAGTAGGCGAAATGCGCATATGTGTTTCGGCACTATGGCAAAAGTGTGTGTTTGTATGTTTACGGCACAGGCACTTTTTTTCACTACCACCGCCACTTTTTTCTGTTTGTTTTCAATCAGGACAAACATCTGTAAAACTTCTGTTCTAGGGTGGATACGACGATCATGGTGGTTCTAGTCGGAGTAGCATAGAAAATATGAGATTTTGGACTTAAAACTTGAAAAAAAAAACAAAATCTGCAAAACTGCGAAAAGCAGTAAGTCTCAGTTTCTTGTTGCAAATTCTTACAGTTCAAATTTTCGGAATTCCCCAAAACAATCAAGAATATTTTCCACAAAAATTAGATTGCCAGTGAAACAACTAGAGAATTTAAAAACTTAGAAATTCCAAAACTAGGGAATCTCAGAAATAGGGAATCTCAAAACTTGGGAATCTGAAATTTAGGGAATCTCAAAAATAGGGAATTTCAAAACCAGGGAATCTGAAAGCTAGGAAATCTGAAAACTAGGAAATCTGAGATCTAAAAAATCTGAAAACTAGAAAATCTGAAATCAAGGAATTTTCACAACTAGGGAATCAGGAAACTAGGAAGCCTGAAAACTAGAAAATCTGAAAACTAGGAAATCTGGAAACTAGGGACTCTGAAAACTAGGGAATTTTCCAGAATCGGAATATTTCTTTTATCAAAGTTTCAGAAATTCAAAAAACGAAAAACTGGTAATTCGAAATCGAATTGTACTAGCAGACATTTAACCTTTTGAGATGTCAATAGTATTCAATTTACTATCTATTCAGCACCTGCTCATCGAATTCAATCTTTTTGCACTTTTTTGAATTTAAAAAAAAATCATATTGGGATGAATTGAGCAGGTGTAGAATCCAAAAAATGATGGAAAAACTTCCAACCAGAAAAAAAAACGCATCGAACGTTCTGAGTGGGCGAACTAATTAGAAGAAAACGTGTTAAGGAACAGATATGAAGAAGAAAAACGAAGAGAGATGCATCAACAAGCAAACGAGAAGAAGGGCACAAAAATGACGAAGCGAGGAGGCCACAAACACTTAGACAAACTCCTCTTGCTTCTGTTTCAAGTAAAAAACATAGGTTGAGATAGCAAGGGAAGATTCTGAGTTGAGGTTTCAATTTGCGGCAGTGTAGAGAGAAGAAATGAAGAGGTTGGAGAGAAAAAGACATTAAAAAACAAGTTGCGGGAATGAAAGGAGAACTGATGAAGGAAAAACGAGGGGTGAGGAAATAGAGAAGTCGCGGGAGCACATGAAAATTGGAAAACTTTGTGTTGATTGGTGTTTTAAAAATAGGTGATTGTGCGTTCAGAAAAGCTGAAGTGATAGGGATAAAGAAAGCATCAGGGGACGCAGAGCCTTTGCACTTTTTCAAAATGCACTTTACTGATCTGGGACCAAGAGGGCTTGGAGGTTGTCTTTGAGGATTTTGGGTTTGTGATTCTACTTTGTAAAAAAATAAACATTAAAATATACTCAATTTAATTCAATTGATTTCTTAAGCTTTCTACAGTAACCCACAGAGTTTAATAATTTAAGTTGCTCATGGGACCCTAGAATGGTCTCTCGCGTTAATAATTTTTGTTGTAAAATGTTAAAATCGTTATGGATGACTAACTAATCGAATATTGGGAATCAAAAAATGTCATTGTTAGGAAAACTTTTTCAACTTAAAGGTTCTAGGTTTACCTCACGGAACATTTTCAAAAATTTAATTGAAGTTTTGCCTATGTTGGAGAAATACAGGAGTCTTAAACTTGAGAATCTGAATTACATACATTAAGAACGTATTTTTAGTTTATTTTTGACCATTTCAAGCATTTTCAAGGGTCCGGAGCTCAGCTGTCAAGTTTTCGACCACTTTGAAAACTTTGGAAGGTGTGAAACAGGTCTAGATTGAAAACTTCGCATTCACAGAATTTTTTTAAAATTATCAGCTTATCAGATATTTGCCGATTTCTTAAGACACCTGATCTTTTACATTTTCAGTGCAACAAAGGACCGTAAAGGGCGTCTTTCAGAAACTGACAAATAACTGAAAAACTAAGGATTTTTACAAAATTCTGTGAAAGCAAAGTTTTCAATTTAGATCTGTTTTAAAATCCCCAAAATTCTCAAAGTGATAGTAAACTTGACAGTTGAGCTCTACCCTCCTGAAAATGGTCTAAATGGCCCAAAATCACCTGAAAATTTTTTTTTGTATATCTTAATGACCGTTAATGTATATCGTAATCTCTGAAACAATTAGAAAAAAAACTATTTAAAGAAAATTAGGGCAAAAAATTGTTTGGTTTGTTTTTTTTTCTCAGTAAGGGTGCCAAAAATCAAAAATATTTCCACCGAACCAAGTTCAAAAACATAACTCAATTTCGTTTAACCTAATTGACACATTTTCGTCTCTATTTGACAGCTTTTGGGTGGGGTACAAAAGATAACCATTAGAAGTATCCCAAAAAGTGAGTAGCGCGCACTTGAGGTGTGTGCTCTTTGTGCGAGCAGTGCACTGATTCTTTGGTCGCCGGCTCCTTCATTTTCGTGTCGTTTCTTCGTATTGTAATTCGATGTTTATGTACATACATACATATTTCTCAAATGTACATGAACCGAAAAACGTTTTTCTCGCCTTCTGTTTAGGGTCAAAACCAAAGAATGACAAGGAAAACGAGATGGAAAATGGAGTGCAAATAAGAGACATTGTGTTACGGAAATGGATATCAACACCTGAACTTTTGGTTTCCCACCAAATTGGAAATGAATAGGAAATGGTCAGGAGTGTAGTTCTTTGAAAAAAGAAAAAGTAAGAACGAAAACAAAAATAAGAGAAAAGAAGTGTCGTTGAAACATGAAGGATGATCGTGGAAAGGGTTAATCTCTCATAAGCCCTCTGACATTTTTCGAGAACGAGAAAAAAAGAAAAAAAATCATAAGAATTAGTTTTCGTGAAGAAACGAGAAACCCAGAAGTCAAGATGAGAGGAGGAGTTGAGACTAGTACATAACATAACTGCCACCAATTTGCATTTAGTGCAGCTTGGATTGATTTGTACTCTCTTCTTCTTCTTCTTCTTATACGCTCCGCCCGTCCGTCCGCTCTCATTTTATTTTCTGACGGCGGTCGGGGTGGTTGTCGTCATGATGAAATCAGATATGAAAAAGATTCATCAAATTGACGATGACGATAAGAATCTGAATGCGGATAGAAAGGAGGGG